TAAAAGGTAAGTGTGGGCTGGCCGGTTACTCAGTTGATTACAGCACAGCCCCATAACACCAAGGTCAGGGGTTCAGATCCCCATACTGGCCAGCCGCCAGGAAAAAATAAAAAAATAAAAAGTAAGTGTGTAGACACTGTAAACACCTACAGTGTAAAAATAAATAAATAAGTAAACCCTCAGGTAGCCAAACAGCTGCCCCAAACAGTCAAGCAAAATCCCTGAGAATAAAAATCCCTTCCACAGGCAGCAAAGAGCTTTCAATACTTTATACGGACTCAGTACTTCTCTGCCAAGTTTGGCAAAAGACCTCCAACATCAGCTTCCCGGGCTGCCCCTGAAAGGCTAAAGGCTGGACACTCGGCCTCAAACTTCAGATCTGCCTGAGTCCAGGCTGAAGAGTGGCATGGAGCAGGGTGTAGAAACAGATCTGGGGGAGGGAAAGGGGCTGGGCTGGGCAGAGGTCGTGATCTAGAGCTGAGAAAAAGGAGGGCACTAACTCCAGTGCTCAATACCAGGAAGATCTGGAAGGACAGGAGGACATTGAACAGGGATGCTGGCCTCAGGCTGGCTCCCTCTAAGTAGATCCCAGAGGGAAGGGAAGGGCCCTGGTCCTCCAAGCACAATATGGCCAGCCTGATGATGTCACCAATGTCACCGACAACAGCTGGCTTTGCTGGTGCCCTGAGGAGCTGCCCACATCGTCCAGGGCTGGGAGTCTGGATCTCCTGAGCACTTTAGAAAAGACCTCCTCCATGGTCCAGGGGTCACACATGAGGAGGAAACAGAGCAAACTGAGGCGTTGGGGAGAAGCAGGCTGCTGAGAATGTGGTAACAGACATCATTCCTGCCTCCCGTCTTCACACACCAGCCCCGCTGTCCTGTGCAGCAGCTCCGAAGGTCAGAACGATGCCTGGGTGGTCACGGCTCTTAGGTCAGCAGTAGAGCTTCTGATGGCTTAGGGAGAAAGAGTGGCAGAAGAGCTGTGAACAGAGGTCTCTCAGTCTTGTAGCTTTGCCAAGGTTAGTGATAGGAGATGACAAAGATCTCAAGCTCAAGGATATAGCCAGAGGCAAAGCCTGACATTCAGAGCCTCCTAGCGCCTGCCTCCTCCCTCGTCCTCGAGAGGCTGGGTGCTGCCAGGTCAGTGTCTCTGGGTGTGACTCATGTCTCAGCTGCCCTGCCTGGGACACTGGCAGTCCCCCCCGCCCCCTTGCAGGCCTGCTGGAGACACAACTGCTCACTCCTTTTATTTATTCCCTGTTTCTCAACCACCTCTCCTTACCCCAACCCATGACTAATGGGCTCTCACCACCCAGAGCTTACCAGGAGGGCATCACCAGCACTACAATTATCTGGCTCATTCAGGCCCAATAAGTCTTTCTACCCCAGCATCTGCTTTGTTCTGAAATGATCTGCATAGTGCAGTGATTCAGATGCCCAGGCTACACAGTGAGATGAATCCTCAGTCCCTGGTTGCTCTGGTTGTGGAGGCCAGTGCTGGGCTGGCCAGGAATTCCTTCACATTGGCCATCTGAACAATTTCCCCTGCCTCAGAAATGATCGTTTAAAACACAGATGTGTCTGGGCCGTGCCCCAGAGACGTCCGCCAGGAGGACTAGCTCTAGATGTGTATGTTTTCTAAGAGCACCCTTGTCCTCCTATTGGGAACCTCTGCTCTGATCCAATGAGTGGCAAAGCCAGGACTGGCTGTGCCTGTGTCCCCTCTCCTGCACACTGAAGGGCCTAACTCACTGGACAGGTGCCCGAGACTCCCTGGGTCTCCCAACACCCTCTGGGCTGACCCACCACCGGTGTCCCTGAGCTCTCCCCTCAGCCTTCTGGCTGTACCATTACTCCAGCCTGAAATTCCCCCTGCACCCCTTATGTCTCCTTCCTCTCTGAAGCATCTCAGTCCCCTCCCCACTTCCCAGCCCATCTTGCAGAAAGCCCTAGAGCCCTTCCTTTAATAAACCTTTTTTGCACATGCTTGGAGCAAATCGCCTGGCCTGGCCAACAGCTTGTCACAGCACTGTGTCATTGATTTTGGAATTTAACAGGTTGTGAGTTTGTCTTTTTATTTGGGAAGCTCCAGAAGGGCAGGGAGCCCTCCCCATCCTCCAGGAGGTTGTGCCACAGAGAGGATACTGAGTAAACACAAGGATGTAAGTTGACGTGATGTCGTGACACCCCACAACCAGGGGATGCACGCTGCAACCTTAGATGTTTGCTTTTGGAACTTCACAACCTGGACTCCCTTTACAGATTCAACAGTGACACTATCCATTTGTGTGACCACTCACAGTGAGACAGGAAGGCCCACCTGCTCTGCAGGCAGGCTAGTGAAGACCAGGGACTGGTAAGTGGCAGAGGCTCCCTGACCAAAGCTGACCAAAACCATGCAGGGAGCACTGAACAAAGACTAATGGCATCACCCAGCAGAATGGGAAACATCAAAATTGTGATTTTTTAAAAAATTCAGGGAGCAGATTAGGAGCTCAGCTCCTTTCTTCTGCCAGTTTCATCTGCAAGAATATGGTTGGCTGGAGACAGGTAAGGCTGCCAAGCATAGATACCTGGGAGGGAAGATATTGCCTGTGGGCTCCCACCATCTCCTGCACACTTGAAAGAGCCCTGCCCATCTGGTATCTCCCTGCTGGTGGCAGAGGAGGGTTGAGCCTGGAAATCAGCCCTGTTCAGGACTGTTCCAGAGTGCTTGTCCAGGAGAGTAAGTGAGGAGATGGCTGAGGTCTGTAGCAGCTGCTGGCAGCTCAGGGGTTGGGGTGGCCAGTTCCCCACAGGGGCCTACAATCCAAAGCAAAGCAGCCGTGACTGAGAGTTTAGGGCAGCCCCAGGCAAACAGGGGTGGAGAGCAGCTGCGCATCAGGACCACCTCTCTTCCACACTCCTCGCCACTATGACTTAGATCTCCTTAAAAACCTACCCTCTGCCTACAACATTGGGCCCCTTTCCTCCTCTCTTGCTTTGTCCCCCTGGCTTTTCCCTGTCTCCCCATTCCCGGGCTTATTGTCTTGCCCTCTACCCCAGTGAGTGTTGTCCAGTCCCCTACTCAAGCCTCTCTGGGCCTCAGTGCCTTTGCTCTTATGGTTTCCTCTAAACAAGTACCCTTTTCCTGATGCCTGGCAAACTCCTATGTATGCTTCAAGACCCTTTTTTTTTTTTTTTTTAAAAAAGATGACCGGTTAGGGGATCTTAACCCTTGACTTGGTGTTGTCAGCACCACGCTCAGCCAGTGAGCGAACCGGCCATCCCTATATGGGATCCGAACCCGGGGCCTTGGTGTTATCAGCACCGCACTCTACCGAGTGAGCCACGGGCCGGCCCAAGACCCAGTTTAAATGTTACTTTCCCAGTAAAGGTCTTTCCAACTCCATGAGACAGAATCAGTTCCTCCACCTGTGCACTTTATTCTGCTACTATGAAAGTACTCATTGTATTGTTTGGTCCCTCTTTGTTTATGTGTTTGTCTACTTCCCTCTGCCTTATAAATAGTGAGGTCCTTGAAAGTGGTGACTATTACTTTAAATCCACTATGTAACATAGCATCCAGTATAGAGGTTGTCAATAAATATTTGCTGAATGAATGAATGCATGCAAATTCCATTTTCACCCTGCTGTCCCTGCTCCGTAACCCTCAGTGGTGCCCTCTTTGGAGACCAAACCTCTGGCAATTTATTCCGCACACTTTCTGTACACATTATGGAGTAATCATTCGCACGTTTGGCATTGTGGAGAAATGCAAAAGAAAGTGCCTTCACTCTGCGTTCCAAAGAGTAAGTAAGACAAGAGCCCAGATGAAACCCTGAGTGAGTGGGGCCCACAAGGCATTCCAGATGAAGGGGGTGTTGTGTCCAGCAGGGAGAATCCAGGACTGTGTCCTGGGGCACCAGGCCATGTCTGAGTCAGTGCTGAAGAGTAGGTTGATTTTAACAGGTGGACATAGCGGTGGCAGGAAAGAGGGCATGGAAAAAGGGCATTCCTGGTTCCAAAGGCAAAAGAGGTCAGGATGTGTTTGGGGGAAAGGCAAGTGGGGCTGTTTGGCTGGAGCAAAGGCCACATGAAGGGGAACAGTGGAAGGCGAAGGTGGACAGGCTCGTCCAACGACAGCCAGGGTGTGGCTCTTCAGCAGGGTGGGATCCAGAAGCACTCATTTAGGGCCGGGCAGCCACACCGCCTCTGAGGATACATGGTGAGGGATAGGTCTACAAGCCCACTCCAGCTGTCATAGCCTGAGCAGGGGGTGTGGGAACAGATCAGGGCGGGCCAGTTGTGAGAACAGGGAATGTTTTAGAGTTTCCTCATCTCTCTGACTTTTCCTAAATCCCATACCTAGTAGGGGCTTGGTCCAAGGGGACATCTTAGTCCACCAGCCTCCAGCAAGGCAACCCAGAGCTTCTTCTACCTTCTCCCCACAGTAGATTGGGTGCTATGGCTCTCTCAGCCACAGGACAGACTAGTATTTCTTAGGCACCATCTACCTGAAAAATACCAAGGGAGCATAGTGGGGGATACCCAAGAATAGAAGACATGGACCCCTAGTAATTAACCACATGTAATTAAAACAGCCACAGGGCCAGGCCAGGGAGTGGTGAGTGTCAGGTAAATACAGGGAGCAACTCCCCCCCCACCTTTTTTTTAACATAAATTATTGTCCAAACTGGCCAAATGAAAGCGGAGCTGTTAATAAGTATGCTAGATCATAGGCATGAACAGAAGCTGCCCCCACCACCCAAGATGGTGTTCACCCTACCCATAAGACTCCTGATTCCAACGTTTCCATCTCCAGACCTGTTCTTGGCCCTGAGATCCAGACGCATAATCAATCGCCTGCTGGGTATTTCCATTTGGATATCCTGTGGGCTTCTGAACCACAGTGTGTCAAAAACTGAAGTCAGCACAGGGTCTCAGTCTGACTACCGCCACCGCCACCCAGAGACTGCTGAGTTCCCGTCTGTCTGCTGCCACCCGCTTCAGACACAGAACACCCAGTCATGGATAAAAACGAGCTGGTGTAGAAGCCCAAACTGGCTGTACTCGGCTGAGCCATGTGATGATATGGCACCTGCATGAAGTCCATAACTGAGCAAGGAGCTGAATTATCCAATGAGGAGAGGAATCTTCTCTCAGTCATTCATAAAAATGTCATAGGAGCCCGTAGGTCATCTTGGAGGGTCATCTCAAGTATTGAACAAAAGACAGAAGGTGCTGAGAAAAAACAGCTTGAGAATACAGAGAGAAAATTCGACCTAACTAAGAGATATCTGCAATATGTACTGTTTCTTTTGGAAAAGTTCCTGATTCCCAGTGCTTCACAAGCAGAGAGCAAAGTCTTGTATTTGAAAATGAGAGGAAGCTACTACCATTACTTGGCTGAGGGTAATGACAAGGAAGGGATCGTGGATCCATCACAGAAAGCATACCAAAAAGCTTTTGAAATCAGCAAAAAGGAAATGCAGCCAACGCATCCTACCAGATTGGGTCTGGCCCTTACCTTCTCTGTGTGCTATGATGAGATTCTGAACTCCTCAGAGAAGCCCTGCTCTCCTGCAAAGACAGCTTTTGAGGAGGCCTATATTAGGCCATTTCTGTGTTGCTATAACAGAATACCTGAGACTGGGTAATTTATAAAGAACAGAGGTTTATTTGGCTTACGATTCCGGGACAGCTGCTTCTGGCGTGGGGGTAGAACTCACTCCCCCCAGGGAGAGCATCAATCCATTCATGAGGGATCTTCCCCCATAACTGAAACAGCTCCCAACACTGCCACATTGGGATCATATTTCCACATGAGTTTTGGGGGGACGACAACATCCAAACTCTATCACAGCCATTGCTGAACTTGATAAGTAAGTGAAGAATCACACAAAGACAGCATGCTAATAATGCAATTACTGAGAGACAGCTTAACATTATGGACCTCGGACACCCAAGGAGACGAAGCTGAAGCAGGAGAAGAGGAAAATTAATCGGCCTTCTACTTTTGTCTGCCGCATTCTAAAATTTACACAGTAGGCCATTTGTCATCCATGCTTTCCCACAAATAGTTTTTTGTTTACGATTTATGACAGGTTTATGTTACTTCTATTTGAATATGTATATTTCCCTTGTGGTTTTTATGTGTAATATTAGGGGGGTAGAGCCAGTTAACATTTAGTTATTTTCATCTTGAGGTGGCCAATATGGGGATGCAGAATTTTTATGTAAGCTAAAATTCTTTGGCACAGTGCTTTTGGTATATTGTGGCTTCACAAGGGCCAGAGTTAAAACTGCTTCCGTGTTTATTTTTATTTATTTATTTATTTTTTCCCTTTTGGTCTTTTTTCGTGTCCAGCAACGGATCGCAACCCTCAGTGTTGCGCCCGTACCGTACCGGGACCGGCAACGGGATCGCAACCCTTGGTGTTGCTCCCACACCTCGCTCAGCCAGTGAGCGGGAACCGGTCTGTATGTGGGATCCGAACCCTTGGCGGGAGCGCCACCGTGCTCCCAAACGGCACACTGTAGCAGTGCGCCACCGGGCTGGCCCCTGCTTCCATGTTTTAAGCAAAGAAAACTGCCTACATATTGGCTTGTCCTGGTGGGGGATGAAAGGGACAATTGGTTCCAGTCAGAAGTGTAGTTATTGTGGGTAATTTAAGGTCTGGAGCACTTAGAAGTCTGTGGCAGGAACAGATATCACTTGGATGCTACACGTTGATCCATGTGTACACATGGAAGGCTCAACCTCAGCGTGCACACCTTTGACTGCAGCTGCAGATGCATTCCTCGAGACGAAGTGGTGACCCAGCTTACTCTGGATAAGGGCAGAAGCAGTTCACGTTCCACCACTTGTAAAGTTACCTGCTATTTGCTTTTACTATTTTTGCTACACTCATTTTATTTGTATTTAAATGTTTTAGGCAACCTAAGAATAAATGTAAAAGTAAAGATGCAGTAAAAATAAATTGTTTGACATCCATTACTTCATGTATATCAAACACAGCAGTAAAAGAAAAAATCCATGTATTTAACTTTTTTTTTAGTTTTTTTGCTTTTGTGATTTTTTTTTTTTTTTTTTTTTGGATACTTGCCTAACATGCGTGCATGTGCTATAAAAATAGTTAAGAGGGAAATAACTTGAGATGATGGCTAGCTGTGCTTAATGTCTTATGAAATTTCATGAACAATCCAAGCATAATTGTCAAGAACATGTGTATTAAGTTCATGTAAGTGGAATAAAAGTTTTATGAATGGAAAAAAAAAAAGACTGACATCGGCACCTCCCCACTCCCTTTCCCCCACCGGTGGCTTCTCCTGTGTTCCCCATCTACAGAAACAGCACTGGCCCCCACTCCTGTCTTCCCAGCCACACCCTGGAAGCTGGCCTGGGTGCCTCCTTACTGAGCCATACCCAGGCAGTCCCTTCAAGAGCTACCAATTCTCTGTCCTCTGGCCCCTCCCACCTGTCCAAGCCTCCTTGTCTTTGCCCTGGACCACTTTCATAGCCTTGTCACTGGTCCTCCCCTTCCATCCTTCCCTCCGTACCTCTAGAGTCCATCTTCATCACGGCAGCAGAGGGATCTTTAAAATGCACCAAACTGCTTGGGTCACTCTCCTTGGTGGCTGCCTTCCCACTTTGACACATTTGGGTGGTACCTGAGACCGTTGGGGTCTCTGCAGTGCTCTTGCCTCCAGCTGCACCTGGGCCTGCCCTCCCGCTCCCTGTCGGCCAGCTCTGTGCGGCTGCACACCTGCCACGCCTTTGCTCCCACCACTGTCTGCTCGGGATGCCCATGTGCCTCCGGTTCTCCCCCAGCCGCCCCACTGACCTCAGGCAGGAACCACTGCACAACCTCCTCTGTCCTTGCCAGACTGGCCGTCCCACTACTCCAGCTATTCATCTATTCACTGAATACAGTGTTTGATGATGGGGTTACAAAGAAATATAGCCACACAGAGGAAGAGAGAAAATGTAGCAAACATGCTATATTAATCAATCCATCTAAGCAAAAGGAGTTTGGGTGTTGATTGTACCATACTTGCAACTTTTCTGTGGGTTTTAAGTTTTTCAAAAGAGGTAAAAATGAATAGAATATGGGTCTGCACAGAATTCATTTATTTTATTTATTTATTTTTTTTAAAAAGATGACCGGTAAGGGGATCTTAACCCTTGACTTGGTGTTGTCAGCACCACGCTCAGCCAGTGAGCGAACCGGCCATCCCCATGTGGGATCCGAACCCGGGGCCTTGGTGTTATCAGCACCGCACTCTCCCGAGTGAGCCACGGGCCGGCCCAGCACAGAATTCATTTAAATGTAAGTTTATCGTAACTGATTCGAGAGATCAGTATTCACTGAAATTCGGGAACAAGTTTTATTGTTACAGCTCTACACTTATCAGACAATTTATGTTTAAATTTAAACATACATACATATGTCTTTTTCCCCTGCATCCCCCCTTTATGTTTAAATTGGGGGGAAAGTTAGAAAAAAACAGATAAGTAGATAAAAGAAAATAAAATCACCCCAAATCTCACCACCCGGAGATAACAATTATAATTTTCTAAGAATATGCCTTCTCGATAATTTTGATGTATAGATTTTTAAATACAGAATGGATAATGCTACACACAGTTTTTTAACCTGTTTTTTTGCTCCACAAAATATTGTAAACACCTTTTCATATTGATAAATATATCAGCATTTTAATAGCTCCACAGCTTTCCATGGAATAGGTTCCCCATAATTTATGTAACCCCACAATCTTTCCCCTACAAACACAAGCCCTAATTTCCTGATTCTGGCTCCTTGCATGATTCTAACCCAAAGAGGGGAGTCAAAGTCGGTGCTGGCCCTTTGTTTAGGAAGCCGACTCATTGATATTTAGGCTTCAGAGAAAAAAATGAAAGCTGACAGGTTAGAATTAACGGGGAAAATCACCTCATCTCCAATGCCACAAGCATTTCAATAGATAGAGTCCAATTTGCTTGGCAGCTCTGCCCAAGGAGGCCAGAGTCAACAGAGTTTTGGGCCACACCTGGGCCACTGGCAAGATTAAGAGGAGCTAAAAATAGACCCAGAAGTGAGCATTGAGACTTTTCTGAATTCATAGGCATGAAGACTGCTCCAGAAGGACTTGCCTGTCCAACATTTTCCATCCATGGCATATCATGCTGCCTAAAATTTCTAAGGTTTAGGGTTTTCCAAAAGGGCCATGTCAGAAAGAAGGCAGCTGTCCCAGGAGAAGGGCAGAGTGACTCCCCTATCAGGACAGAGAGGAGAGAGTTGGGGCTTTTGAGTCAAATGGACTGGGACTCATGTTCCAGCTCTTCCCATTACCAGCTCTGTGACCTTGGGTCAAATCCTCAACCTCTCTGAGCTGCTGTGTCCTCATCTGTAGCAAGGAGATAAGAGTCCACCTTGTAGAATTATTGTGAGGGTAAATGGAACATTGTCTGGAACAGTAAAGGAGGTGAACAGATGGGGCTTATTACCATTACTGAGGACTTGATTTGTTTCTCAGATTAGCCAGGTGTGGTTTTGGTAAAGCTGAATTTTCACAGGGTTGGCAGTGCACATGACAGCTGTACAGCAGAGCCCCCAAGTGTGATGCACGGCAAAGGAGACGGGTCTGCACATCCAGGATCAAATGGGGCATTTACAGCAGGATGGAGACATGCTGGATGGTATCAGGATGCCTCATTCGTTGCCTCAGCCCTCGCCTCAGCCCTCAGCACTTAACATTCATAGTGTCAAATATTCTCGAGTCAACTCTGAATAATAATTGTGACCAATACTAATTTGCTATTATGCTGAGACATTAGTATGAACCACATTGACTTAGAGTTAATTGGAATGGCTCCTAATGAGGCTTTGCACCAGAGCTTGAAAGCTTGGACTAGGATCCAAGTCTACTAAGCTCCAAACGCTGACCTCAAGCCCAGTGGGGTTCATCAGATGGGTCGCCTCTTGCCCTGATTGTGACCAGGTCCCATAGAGGGCTTTCTGGGAGTAGAGTGAGTCTCCAGAATGAATTGGCACCTTTGACTGGTAGGGCACAGACAATGTCAGCGCTACTTAAACGGGTGCTGTGGACTGAAAGTTGCTTCCACCTGTCTTAGTTTCCTAGGGCTGTCATAACAAGGCATCACATACTGGGTGGCTTAAAAGAACAAAAATGTATCGTTCTCACAGTCTGGAGGCCAGAGGTTAAAGTCAAGGTGTTGATAGGGCCATACTGTCTCTGGCTTCTAGAGTCCGGTGTTGCTAGCAATCCTTGGCATTCTTTGGCTTATAGATACATCAGTCCAATCTCTGCCTCCGTTGTCGCATGAATGTCTTCAGCTGAGTGGCTCTGTCCTTTTCTTATAACAACACTAGTCATATTGAACTAGGAATGCACCCTATTCTGGGATGACCTCATCTTAACTAATTACATCTGCAATGACCCTGTTTCCAAATAAAGCCACATTCTGAGGTATCAGGGGTAGGACTTCAACCTGTCTTTTTGGGGGGACACTACTGAACCCATAACAGCCTCTCAACCTATTTTGACACAAGCATTCTCTCTTCAGTGCTTGAGCTCAGAAGGAAGTGACATCAATCATCCTCTGGGCAGCCAGGGGAGGAACTCTCAGGAGAGACCCTGGCCCACCTCTGCTCTATGCCCTGCAGCCTGTCTGAGGATGTGTCCCAGGTGGGGTATCCAAAACAGGCCCAGTGAGATGGATGCAGGTGGGCGTCTGTCCTCCCTATTCAGTCCACCCTCATGACTCAAGTCTTCATTGTGCCCTGTGGTGGGCACTCAGGGTGCTGGGGAGCCTAATGTCCTGGGCTCTGACTCCTGGCACTTCTAGTTCCTATAAAACAGCGAGTGAAGAAACAGAGAGAACAGAGGGAAAATACTCCTGCACACACACACACACACACACACATACACCTTCTCCTGGTTCAGATCATTACAGCCAAGGCTGAGTGGCAAGAGGAAT